AATAATCATATATTTCTTAACACAATTAACAGAACCTTGAGTTGGAATATATCCCTTTTCGAGCAGAAGTGGAAAAGCAGCAAAAGCCAGGAAAGACGATACCCCTCCCGTTCTTAAAACAATCCTCGGGAGATTAAAATTCTTAGCAACCGCAGATGTGAAGTACAAGATGGCATCTGAGATTAAACATGCAATTGGATCCCCCGATTTATCAGCTAATAATTGAGCCAATGCTTCTTGGAATGGTGCAATGCAATTCTGATTAAGGAGTGACAGTAGAGAGAGGACATCACTTGGGGAAGACTGACTTTCCGACAAGCCATCAGAGATAGGGTAAAAGTTGAAGTGGGGATAATTTGTAGGATTGGGAGAGTTGAATTTGGTATGAACGATTGTTATGGAAAAGCCCTTTGAATAAAGAATGGTTGCAAGCTGAAGCATAGGGCTAATATGGCCTTGCAATGGTAGTGGAAACAGTATTAACTGGCGGCCTAGTCTTTCTTGCAGTTGAGCTTCTCTCTGGTTCCCCATGGAAAAGGTGCTTGTTTTTTGGCAATGGAATTAAGATTTTGTTTGAACTGGTATATCTTAATCTGTGACCTTAAAGTTTAGCAAAATGATTGGTTCTTGGACTACTTATGAAGTTGTCTAAGTACAGAGTGAGTGAAAGATAACATTTATTAGCAACATCTACCGTGTGAACTTCAGAATTTTTGCCTTCAATTGTCCATTCAGGGTGCCAAATACCACAATTAAAAATTAAAAATAAAAAAATCACCTGAACTTTGTTATTTATGCAGATTGATCCGAGGCATCGTTATGGGAACAACTTACAACTGTACTATAAAGTGTGCTCTAAAAGCTCTACCACTCAGCATTTATTTTTCTGGTGAGAGAAGTAGTTGTGTCAAATGAGTCGTATCAAGTTACAATTTGAGAGATTTTTTTGCGATCTAACTTGACCGAGGTTGAGTTTGTTTCTTCCTGTACTTATATTGTCAAAACAAATGATAATACATTTTGTTTTTACACTCATAATCGCATTTGTTGATTGCGCTTTTCATTTATTTTATTTTGAACAAGTGTGCAGTTGGTTCCATATAATCTTAAGTGGAAATCACATATTAATTGAAACTTGAACATATCTACTCTTTAATAGGTTGGATTTTGGAGATTGCAAAGAGGTTGATCTTGAAGAGTGCCCAAGAGTATTTTGAACATTATTTTTTGTTCTCTGGCAAAATTTTCCATCTAAATCCTAACACGTGCACGGTTTCATAAAGTGATAGCCAGACCTGAACTTTGTCTACTCGGTACCAAATAAGATTTGTTTCTATGTAAGATTGGTTGCTTTCTTTATTTTTGTTCATNGGTTGCTTTCTTTATTTTTGTTCATAGTTCATTTCTCAACACTACCGACATGTTAAAACAAAGGGGTAAAAATTCATATAAGATTCCCAGAGCCATGTGATGATGCATCGTAATTAGTTGCAGATAATAAATTACATAAACCTCTGGCTCTTATTAGTGGGTCATGGAAGAGGAAAGCCACTGTCCAATCCAATGTCCATCATAATTAATAACTGAAAGCTTATAACCAATTCAAATTCAATAGATGTGGCCCCAGACGGTCACGCAATACAATAATGATAATTGAAAGGGCTCAAAGATAGAGAAAATGTGTACAAACTGACTTGACAGCACATGTTTGGATTTTTTTTTTTTAAATTGTCTAATCATGTGTCCCCCCTGTTTTGAACATGTCTTTGAGTCTGTTTGTATAGCACAATACGAAATAAAGTAAAGATTCACAACACGTGGACCAAATCCCTTAATCGAATTCAATACCACTTACTGGACTTTGAACTATATTAAATACAGAATAGTGTTGAGAACTCTTACAACCTTTACCTATTACTATGTGGCACCATTGGATCCCACCTAGTGGCGGTGGTGCGGGTCAGGAAGGGGCTGGTATGAGCAGAGTCCCACCAAATCTTTACTCTTTGCCTGCAATTATATGTTAAACTTCATTATGACAGCCCTTGATTGGTTGTCCAGGGATTCCATTATTAAGAAGTGTATTCAAGGGCTCTTAATTCTACTTGATTACCTATGTGGCTTGCATTGTTTTTACTTCACAAACGTGAGTGGCTTCTTACTGAATTAGTAGTACGAAATGGTACCAAATTTTACGAATTGTTTTGAAATTATATGAAATAGTATAAAATGGCTAGAAATGGTACAATATGGTTCAAAATAGTATGAAATGTTACGAAATTGTAGGAAATGGTGCAAGATTGTTCAATTTGCTTAGCTATTATAGCTTCTTGATTTGGCTCCTAAAGATATAAGGATTCTATAGTTAAGAGCATCCGAATTCTCTCATATAACCGAATAACTAATGGTAAAAGTACTTGAAAGTCTTACCTAACGGAATAGGATTAGTGTCTGAGCATCTAGACTCATCCCTACGAAGTAAATTTTGTAATCGACAATAAGTGGGAGGTCAATGTACTAGCAAGTACGATGTATAGAGTCTAACACTTGTTGGGGAAGGTAACAAGAAGTGTTAATTGGTTTGAATGAAAATTTGGTAACATTATATCTAAGGCCCCTGTTTGATAGGCAATAAATTCCATGGAAGATGGAAAACTTCCACCATTTTCCAACTTTTTTGCTGTTTGATAAGATAAATTTTCCAGGCAAAACATTTTCCATTTTTCTTGGACGTGACCCTCTTTTCCACAAAATCCTTGAATTGGTTTTCCCATGTTTCATCAGGTTTTTTTGTTTTCTTGGCAAGTGAGAATTGCAACCAAATTCATCCACTATACCGGTACTTCTGCTCCAAATTCATTCTCGTTGCCGCCGGACAAACCACGTGATTTCCACACCAGATTTACCTTATGAACCCTGAAAACTGGGTCAAGAAAGCATTGATTTGATCCTTATAAATGTGACCCAAAGAACCAAATCCTCCAACCGTACCCACGAGCAAAAGACCAGCCAAGATGGTTCCTTTAACTACAGTATTGTTCCCTTCATCACCACCACCACCACTGGTTTCACCATCAGTCCCTTCGTCATTTCCCCCTTTTGAATAATGAAGACAGTGGTTTCAAGAAGTGGAATTTCTTGGCTTGAAATTAAAGTGTGAGAATTGGAAATTGGTAGGAGGAGGCGGGGGCGAAGAGGCTGATGCAGAGTGGAGTTTTGGTGGTGAAATTTGGTAGGGAGGAGGCGGCGACGGAGAGGCTGATGCAGAGTGGGCATGATTTTTGAGACTGGGATAAATAATCTTCCCATGTAGCCATGTAAAATCTAGAAGTTAGCATTGATTTGATCCTGCTAAATAATCTTTCACTGTGTTGGTAATTATTTAATCTCTCGTTTCAAGTTTTTAATTTATATCACATGCACTAAAAAAATAAATTTCCATGGAAAATAAAACTAATCAAACATCAAAAGATGGAACATTTTAACATTTTCCAAGTGGAAAAAAATATCAGTCAAACACATTTAATTAACAATTCCCTGGAAAACAAGTTCTAGGCAATTACTTTGCCTAGAATTCATTTTCTTTCCACCCATTTTCCACCCTTACAATCAAACGGACCCTAAGTATCCTGGAGGGAGCTTTCTAAGTCAAACCCAATTCTGCCACTCCAAACCTTAGACCTAATTAACAACACTGCTCAAACTTGATCGACTATCATAACAATTAATGGACGATTAATTATTTAGGTAAATTATAGACACCCCAATATATAATTATTACAGAGGTACTTCATGTCTTTTAAAAAGCAATAAGTTTATTTGTACATAAGAGGTTGACAACCTCTCACATGCGTGGGGGTCCACAAGTTTAACAAATTAAAAAAAAAAGTAGACCCTTCCATTATGAGTGTATGTCAACCTGTATGTCAACATTTGGTTGTACAAATGGCATTGTTCTTTAAAAAATGAGCAGTGCTATTGGGCCGGCTCAAAGCCAGGCCCAAGTACAAGGTGTCGTCCAATGGGGGGACGCTGCCTCGGCGCCCTGTACTTGTGCCTGGCTCAAGTATATTTTCCCTTAAAAAATTACAGAAACCTGCCATAAATTTAAGAGGAAATTACATTGAGCTCTGGTTTTAGTTTTCCATTTTCACAAAT